GGTCGGAGGTCAGAGGACGAGGTCAACACCGTGCCCGTCAGGCCGTGGCTAGAGCGGGGTCGGGACTCGCCGGGACTCACCGACAGCTCGCTGGAAACGAGGCACCGGCTGTGTGGAAATTGGGCCTCGCTGAGGCGCACATAAGGCCCGGGCCGCGGGTAGACCGTGGGCGCTGAGGCCCAGCGCTGCCCAACCCCCGAGTTCGAATTCGGGGCTTCATCCGGTTCTCGCCTAAAGCGGCCCCAGAGCCCTGCCTCGAACCCACGCACCTGCCGCCTCGGAAAGCCGCTCCGTTGCGGAAAATCAACCTCCAGGGACCCTCCTTGCCCGCCCTGGGTTTCCGCAGCCGCCAGCCTTTCATCGACTTTCCTCCACCCCGTGGACCCTCCTTGAGTTATTTCGAGCTGTGGGGACCCACTCGGAACCCCAGAGTGGATGTGAAGGTTATTTTAAACTGAAGGCATTTGAGACCCGACAGATGCAAAAGGAAGCTTTGTCAGAGCTCTCCGTATCTGAGAGCGAAGTCGAAAGTTGAACCAGAACATTCAGTACATAAAACATGGGAAACCAAAATCTCTTGGGCCCCCGGAATCACTAAGGAAAGCTCAGGCTGGAAGCTGCTCAGGGCACACCTGCGTCCCGCTCTGTTCAGAGTCACCCTCTGCTCACTGATAGAGGCACATCTGACCGCCTCCTTTGAAGAGCCTCATCAGGAGGTTGGGCGCGGTGGTGCACATTGAGACCAGGAGTTCGAGACCAGCCTGGCTAACATGGTGAAACCCCGTCTCTAGTAAAAATGCAAAACTAGCCAGGCGTGGTTGCGGGCGCCTGTAGTCCCAGCTACTCGGGAGGCTGAGGCAGGAGAATCACTTGAACCCGGGAGGCAGAGGTTGCAGTGAGCCGAGATCATGCCATTGCACTCCAGCCTGGCGACAGAGCAAGACTGATCAAAAGGGAAAAGAAAAAAAGAAGGCTAATCAGAAAGTCAAAACATTGTAACCATTTGTGTATCACCTATCTGTGCCCAGGAAGCTCCCTCCCCCATGGCTTTTGCTTTAAGTTGTCCCACCTTTCCAGACCGAACCAATATTTTTTTTTTTTGAGACGGAGGCTTGCTTTCTGACCCAGGCTGGAGTGCGGTGGCGCGATCTTGGCTCATTGCAACCTCCGCCTGCCGGGTTCAAGCGATTCTCCTGCCTCAGCCTCCTAAATAGCTGGGATTACAGGCACCCACCAACACACCCGGCTAATTTTTGTATTTTAAGTAGAGACGGGGTTTCACCACGTTGGCTAGGCTGGTCTGGAACTCCTGACATGAGGTGATCCGCCCGCCTCGGCCTCCCACAGTGCTGGGGTTACAGGCGTAAGCCACCACTGCTGGCTGCAGTGTTTATCTCACATGTATGATTGATGTCTCACGTCTCCCTAACACGTATAAAACCAAGCTGTGCTCCGACCACCTCGGGCACACGTCAGGACCTCCTGGGGCTGTGTCACGGGCACGGCCTCAACCTCGGCAAAATAAACTTTCTAAATTAACTGAGACCTGCCTCAGATTTTCTGCATTCACAAATAGAACAGCCTCGGTGGTCTTCAGAGGTGGCCAGGTGTCCCTGGTGGTCTGCAAGGCTGGGTGCACACTATGGAAAGACAGGCGAGGACCCCAGCTGTCCACCGCCCTGGCTGAACATGAGGCTTTATACAAGCAAAAAGTAAAAGCCAAGGCCAAATTGTAAACTGCTTGAATTCCAAATGCACCCA